AAAAGTAAGCGTTTATGGGCCGACGCTGCACTGTGTACAATGCAATATCAACAGATGTCATACAGATGGTTTGGGAGGAAGTCTTGAATTCTGCGCTATTTTCAAATAGTGGCATTATGTAATGCGTTTGTCACCAGCGAATGGAGAGTATACTCGCCAGAAGTTAATTCGCCTAAAACTCTAACACTAAGCGAATGCAGATCAAAGGGAGATAAGTATGTTTTTTGATGTGATAAGAAATATACTACAGTATGTCCACAATCATAATTTGGACAGGAAAGTTACAGTTCTTCCATAGTTCTCCCAGAGTATTCTTTTCGAAGAATATCATGTTGGTCTTAAACCTTCTGTCGAATATTCCACTGAAGTCCGCTGACTGCCTTCATCTTCAAATATTATCAGTTCAATCCTTTCAGAATATAAGAAAACATAATCGTTTTGTATGTATTTCCTCAATAATGATAGAGTGTTACAAACATTTCGGTCTGAATTATTGATTGGATTCGCTTGAAAATGTAACAAAAGTTTGTTTGGGCATAATAAATTGCCCGACGTAATTCGCCATCGTGACCTGTACTATGGTGGAGAGCGAAACGCAATTCTCCTTGTTGAGTTCCCGAGGGATGTTCCCTAAAACTATGTTATGATGACTTAATAATATCTCGTCACTGCATTTTCAATAAAACCGAGAAAACCATTTCCATAATTTAAACAATATCTCATTGTACTACATCATAACCATATCAATCACTATTTATGAGTGATTTTCATCTGAACTAACTAAGGAACGTATGGTACATATAAGGAATTGCATCGGAGATCACTGTGGCTACTGATGCTTCTAATTTGGAAATACTATCCAGGTGTCTAAATAGTACCTTTTGAAACCCTTAGTTAGTCCTGAAATGCTATAACCCTGATTACACCAATGTTTTGGTAAGCGTCGAATGACAATCTTTAGAATACGTGTGTAGTGTTAACTAGAGATTGGATGTTCAGATTTATAGATATTGTTTCACGTATAGAAAATGAAATAAATCGGGCGTGCAACTGAAAATGACTAGTTGTAAAGGAAAACGTTTCAAGAAAGCCATACATTGTCTATGAAGACTTTCTGTACTCCGAGAACTGTAGAAAGCAATTATTGCGTGTCGATGGAAACATTGCTTGACCACGTGTAACAGTTTGTGATGACTTTATTCATATATATGTAGCATTGCAGCTGAAGCGTTATGCAAGAAAAAGTAACTATGTACATCTTGTTATGCCTATAAGGTGTGAACTGTGCAAGTAAGATAATTTATACATTTGCTCAATAGCACAGGAACATGTTAGGAATATAACTGTATTAATTTTGAACTTCTACCTGAACATCGCTTTTCAAGTGATAAATATCAAATTAAACTGTTACATGAAACATATTCCATTATAAAAAGCATGATTATAAAACTGAAATGTTTTTGTACAAATGTATCTATATTCTATCAATTATAAATCGTACATTATAACAAGGTACCTTACCAGGAACATGTATATTAAAAAAACCAGAAACACACAGTATGTCGTACCAACGGAGATACATTTACACCAATTATTTAGGATGAATTCTTAGTAAAGAGTACAATGTGTGAAGCAAATGTTCGACACGTCCGACAGTCGAGTATGTGCTCTTCAGCCTACTAGTTTGCTGTGTATAGGTATAGGTGCCTCATCCATTAACAACCTAGTCAGGACTTAATTAATTAGGCCCCAGTGGGATGGAGGAGGACGTTACCTCTGTTTCACGTCAGGGCTGAATAATATCCTCTACCGAAACCGTTATTTGATATCCTGTTCAAACGCGACGGTTCAAGATTCACTTGCGAAGGGTTTCGATATTTACACAGAACACGTCACGATTTAATTCTGGACTCACAAAAGTCCAGAAACTCTCCGCACTGTGGGCACTTTCTGACAAGGGATTTGACCAAAAGCGCAGTTCTTATTAATATATATGCGGTTAACGGTTATCGCTCAGTTACACCACATTGTAACTTCCCTTCAATTTGTATGAAAACATTGTGCACATATTATCAAGAGTTTGGTTTTACGCCGTTTTTAGCAACATTCCAACAATATCACAGTGAGGAACACCAGAACTGAACACATTATACCCTGACCTTTGCCTTAATGAGCGAACGCTTTAATTACTGTGCTACCTCTCCCACCCATATAAATAGGTGTCTACTGTTACATTAGGGCTGTTTACAGTGAAGAGGTAGCATCTCATTGATGGTCTGTAATTTAAATCGTACGACATACGATCAACCCAGCGCTAAGGTTGTTTCTTGTGTCTTGAATGTGTCGTCGTTCTCATCCTCAGTATTAATCTATGAAATGCTGATGTAGATGTTGTCACTGTGAGGACTGGCCCTGACTATGGCTGTCGTTCCTTCTTCTGTTGTGCGAGGAGGTGGTATGTCATCATCTGTTCCATTTTCTGTTTGTGTTGGGAAGGCTAAACTGCAGTAGATATGTTCTGAATCTGTGTTGAAGTGAACCGGTTGATTCCCGTGGTTTGTCGCAAAACACAGTTTCTTTTGCCTGAAACACCGAAGAGTACATGAAATCCACTCTTGCTGAAAACACGTTTCCTTCAGCAATAATGTGTATTGACGTTATTGCTGATAGGTTTGGGTTTTTTTTCTTGTTTTGCTTTTTTTTTCTTTTTTGTGGGTTTTTGTTTGTTTGGTTGTTTGTTGTTGTTTTGTTTGTTGTTGTTTTGTTTTGTTTGGGTTTTCTTGGGGGGGGGGAGACCAAATATAGATTTGAGATGAATGTAGTTTGGATTGCCTGCAATGTATGATAATATTTCGTAACCTTAAAATGAAAAGCTACTCATCCTGGATATAAAAGTGTCTTTTTGTACCTTGACAAGAAATACACTGCCATGCTGACTGTCAGAACAAACGTCACGCATCCTACACCTAGTCCAATGAAGCCTCCTTCTGAAAGTAAAACATGCAAACACCAACTATACATTGTACTATCATCACATTTGGTAGTTATTACCAAGATTACATTAAAAAGGATACATGTAACAGCAGGAAGGGCAAAGTTTTTACACATGAAGATCCTGACGTTGGTATGTTCTTAGATGTCAAAGTGGAAAAGAAATATTTTAATGTGTTCAAATACATCTATTTCCAGAAATGCATATAATTCCATATTTTCTCAATGTTATTCTATGAAACAGTTCGTATTAGGGAATATTTAAAACGTGTCAATTTCGATTATATCATATTATTGATGTCGATGGAACTCATGCATGATCGTGTTTGACACACACCTATCATGGGATTAGTCGAAGGTTTCATCTCATCATTCCGTCTTGCTGTGGGTGTCTCAACATCGGTAAAGTTGATGTTGTCAGTTGTAGCACCATCTCCTGACGATTGTAATTGTGTTCCTGATGGCGTGATCACAATGAATGATTAATATTTAACGAATCAATGTATAATTTCAAGGGAGTTGTTATGAAAGCTGACGTTAGCATCATTACATATGCATTACGGCGGTGGGATACAACAATTGACATTCGTGTATTTTAACCATTGGCAGGATGGAAAGCAAGTGTTTACTCGTTTAACGCCAAACTCAGCAATACTCCGGCTATATGGCGGCGGCCAGTAAATAATCGAGGGTGGAAAAGACAATCCAGTGATCAACATCATGAGCATCGATCAACGTAGTTACCATACGATGACATGAGTGAACCAGCTCAGCGAGCCTGACCACCCGACCCGTTAGTCGCCTCTTACGACAAGCATGAGTTGCTGAAGACCAAGTCTAACCCGGATCTTCAAGGGTAGGATCGAACCCCAACATTTGACAAAACAATAATTAAGCCACCCCACCGTCCCCTATTTTACATAATACGCAAACACAAGTGACAGCTGACAGCGAGTCAGGAAGTACTGACGGAAATAAAAGAATCGATAGTGAGAAGAGTGAGCTGAGGCACATCGCAATTTCTCAACCATATAGAGATACTGAGAATCAATTAGTCCTGTATTATGAAGTGTTAATGAGATATTGAGATAGGAATAAAACATCTATATGTTGTATTTCACAAACTTGAAATGTGTTTGAGAAATAAAACATATAAATGGAGCCCAAATATCATTACATACCACCATGTGCCAAATTAAATACAATTTTTAACACTAAGTCTTATGTCTCCAGCTAAAAGAATGTAAGAATGTCAATATCATCAGTTCAAATCACTTCCTGTGAAGGGGAATACATTGCGTCCCATGCCACAAGCGTGCTTTCATAGAGAGTAAAAATTGACCTTTGATGTAAAATGCATGTACTTCATAAACACACATAAACACACTATAATATCATGTGTTTGTAGCATTTGAATGTTTGATTTGTTAGGAAAAAAACAGAATTGCATTTTATTATATGTCCAATGTCTGGACATTACATCTCGAGTCAAATATAATGATTCAACACATTACCCAGCTCGTATAACGGTATATGTAAAGTGGGAGTGAGATGCGGTTTACGTTGCTCTTATCACTATTAATCAGAAATACAATGCGTATCAGCTTAAGATCTCATTGTACATGTCAGCCTGAAACCAAAGACCACGATAATGGTGTTGACAAACCGAGTAGTGAGTAAGTGAGTTAATATTTAACGTCACAAACTGAGTATACAAATCGGGGTGAATCTGATCATAAGATGTTGCAAAAGGCTAAGGGATGCGACTCTGCTCAGCGACTTGTGATGCCTGAGACAACTTGATCACACATGCGCCCTACTTTTCCGATCTGTTTTACATTTGTTAGATATATGATTAAGAATAGCTATTTTAAGGTCTGGAAATGAAATTATTTCAGTTGCGATTTAAAAAATGGTACAGATTAGTTCAACTGGTTTCACAACCACAAGCAACTATATGCTTGTCTGGTTTCAGCGCCAGGATGACTGATGTGAACTAAGAACCATACCATCTTCACAAAGGAACTCGCGTTTTTCTGAACATGGCCTCCAGTATAAACGCTTTCCTCCATTCCTCTGCTTGTATACAATGAGACACCTAGTGTCTGAAGACAAAGCACCGCGGCGCCCGTTGTATTTCAAAGCCGTCTCCCCTAAGAAAAACATTGAACAGGATATCCACAAATGTTATAGCATAGCCTTTCAGGTAAATTGTACTTTCTGTCAGTGTCACAGGTGAAAATGTATAGTATCGTACTCTTGAATTTCTCTTTTAAAACAAAATGTTCTTCAGGTTTCAGGTACGTCATCATTTACCATTCTATCGAGACATTTAGTCTTCGCTTTAAATAAATATACATGGAGACAAATTACCATTTGTCAGGACTAACGCATTAAAAGAAAACTAATCCAGAAATGATTCCATCTATATGACAACCGAGTCTGGTCTACACAATCCAGTGACTAACAATATGAGCTACGATTACAGGTATCAACCAGGTCATTGAGTCTGACCACCTGATCTCGTAACTCGACTCTTATGACAAGCATCGCTTGTTGAAGACCAATTCTAATTCGGATCTTCACATGTACATTAACTATGCTGAAAACCTTGTTGAAATGATTTTGACGATAATGCAACTCAGTCAGTATGGATCGAGCCATGCAACATATAAAAGGGGACATAAATGAACCTGATAAGTTTTGCAGTTCTCAAGTATGTAGTTGTATTGTCTGAACCTGAATAAGACAACTAGTGATCAAATATGCGAGTATAGCTGAGACAATATGTTAGATATAAAACGAAGAACATACAACAATGGTTCCAAACCCAATTTCCAAGTGGACCTGACTAAAGAATAGTGCAACAAAACGCATAGAGATTATTGTACACACATTCGAAACTCGGAAACCCATTGACGACGTCATCGGTTTCCATAACATAGACACGAAACTATGATAGCTGTTGGAATCTCGCCATTCCTGTTATTATCACATTTAAGGTCCTCGAATGCATTTTGACTTCTGAATTTTTGTATGTGTTCATATGATCTGTTCTGTGAACAGATAGAAATCGATGGTAAAATGACCCTACTTACCGTTTATCCATCTCCTGTGCAGATATTTGTACAAACCGATCCAGTATGTGGTGGTGGTACTGCTGCTTCCAAGAAGACTGGTCCGAGCAGATGTATTCAGTTTAACCAAGTCACATGTCATCCAGGCAGCATACCATGACTTCTGATGTCTACAAGATATACTTGTATTTGCACCTATAAAATGAACGAAAATCTGTTAAAGGCGAGTGCATGGAAAACATGGTCAAGACTGGCCTCATTCCGCCGAAACACCTGGTGTCATGACTGGTTTTCAATGATCCATTCATATATTTTCACCACCATTTTGCTCTGAGCAGATAACTGGATTTATAGAAGACACGTCTCTAGTTCGCTGCATATAACGACTGTGTGCAATATACTCCTATATAAACGTGTACCTATAAAATAATAAACCATCATCTGAAGGCGCATGATTAGACGTGATGGTGTAAGTAGTGTTCTGCAGCGTCAGACAACAAACAAGCGTTAACGTGTTTATTCAAACTGAAGTGGTGCGCGTGCAGCAGCGTATGCTTTCCGCATATGTATGTAACAAAGAGAAGATCAAATGTGGCAACCATGCTTACCTCTTGCCTGATTGTCCTATGCCTCAGTTTCACACATGAGTTATCACGAAAGTCTGAATAAAATTTGTTAACAATCCCTATATTTGTTGTGAATAACAGTGGTGTATAAATTAGGAAAATCGAATGTTTTCGAGAATTGAATTTCGTTTGTTGTTGTTTGTTCTTGGAGTTCAAAAATGTAAACATATCCTTAGGGTTTTTCACAGTCCAGATTGTATCTACTTTATCTGTCCCATTTTCTTTTCCTGAATATGAGGTAAGTCCGACCTGGATTATAACAACGATTACAGGTTATCTCCCTACACTGGGAATTGACTGTGAATGTGTCTATATGCATCTCCTCTTTTTGCATGAAATTTACTGAGTTTTGGAATTTTGTGCAGAAGAGAATTTGTTGTATCTTCAGGTTTTAGAGTCATGTTATGTCTTCATGGTAGAGTTAGTCGTATATATAGTATCCTGTATTCAGTGTAGTGTTATTTGTAAAACGTATCATGTCTTCATGAAAGTGGTAATTGTATGGTGAATTAATGGTGGTGGTAATTAGGACAATGATCTTTAATAAATTTATGTGTTATGATCCCGAAAATTAAACACATTACATAGCTTAAAGTTTCTTAAAATTAAACGTAAATATCAGCGGAAACGTATTGTGGATGAAACGTAATACAACTTACCAAACAAAGTAAAGCAGGCGTAACAACCCTTGACCTTTTTACAATCGTAATAAGTTCTGGTATGGATGGAAAGGTCCGTGTCATCCACATAAGCACAGTACGTGTCTTCCTCTTGATTAAATGTCATGTTTTCTAAAAACAATAAAGACATAATATCAGTTCAAACATTCAAAGATTACCTGAATGATCTACACTTTCAAGGTGTACCATTTACCATGTTTCTATGATACTAGTACTACTAAAACTGAGAGAACGACTATTTTAACGATAATCGAATTTAATCTTGTAGGCTCTGACCACTCGCCTTTTGTGACCGTGGAACTGAAGTGTGGTAACTATGAACAACAACCTAGTCCAAAACAGCCCTGTGCCTTGTGCCACAATACCATCAGAGCCCTACAACGACCGTATGGCTGTAATATAGCTTATAGGTGTATTGGCTGAGTTTTCTAAAGAGTCCAATTAGCTTCATACAGATTAATTCTAATACATCGTAGAACTGGTTCGCTCAGTGCGAAGGGAAATTTTCAAAACAAGGATGAATAAATAGTAACCAAAACACTGCTAAAAGAAATTTTGAAGCCTCACATTTAAGCAGATCTCAAATTCGTGTCAGATGTAGTTAAATGGCAGCAAGGCTGAATAAATAATAACCAAAATACGTTGTTCCTGTCAGGCATCTAGACACTGATCCAGTAAACTTAATCAGTGTCATAGAAATATTTTATGCTATGTAAGGATGAAATTAACGTAGCCGTACCTAGCTTGTAAACTGACATCCCCTTGATGTTGCCACACCTTTCTTCGAAGTTTCCGGGACACGAGTTCTCGGATAGCATCGACTTCGTAGTGTTATAGCCTTCTTTCAAACAATAACACGTGGTTCCCTGTGTATGCACACAAAGACAGACATAATGCTATGTGGTAACATGGGAGTTAACAAAACTATGCCCTGAACGTACTGTGCCCCGATGGAGTTTTGAGCAGTTCATTAACCATGACACTAAGTATACTACAGCTGACAAACAAACCAATTGTTGTCAGTTAATTGTATTCTGAGTGTGAACCTCTGACCTTTAGCAACTACCAAATCTTCTAAGGAATTGGACTGCTGTTGTCCGTGAGCACGTAACAGTTTTAAAGCATGTTTCACAATCAGACAATGTATATGGAATGTGGCTGTGTATCCATTGAAAGAGTGAGTGAGTTTGGTGATATATTGTGTCAGCTTCATGAAGAGGACTGTTTCTCACGTTCTCCACTTTGATGAAACCCAGACAAATAAGAGTGAGTGAGTTTGGTTTTACGCCTCTTTTAGCAATATTCCAGCAATATCATGGCGGGGGAAACCATAAATGGGCTTCACACATTGTGCCCATGTGGGGAATCGAACCCGGGTTTTCGGCGTGACGAGCGAACGCTTTAACCACTAGGCTACCCCACCGCCCCTCAGACAAATAAGACATCATAATGAGGCTAGAGTTTAGTTTAACGCCGCTTTCAGCAATATTCCAGCAATATCACGGCAGAGGACACCAGAAAAGGGCTTCACACATTGTACCGATGTGGGGAATTGATTCCGGGTCTTCACACACTTTAACCACTATATCGGATTTGAATCCAACAATGATAATTCAGATTTCACATGACGACGCTACGTGCTTCAAGGAAATAATTAACTTTGATTTTATCAACATTCCAGTCTGTATAAGTAGTATGTGAGTGTAACTGTAAATGCCATACAGTTTGCTGCATCTATTTCAAGTGATGAACTTAGGATATATACAACTCACCTTCATGCCGACTGAATATGCTGGACTGCAGTGAAGATGGCACTTCCATACCGAGTTATCAAGATATGTTCCCTTTGGTTCTACTGTCACACTCCCCACAGGAAGGAAGCCAGCATAGGTGAACAGGGGACTGTCATCTACTGTATTTGGACAATTGAAGGTAATATATTAGAGTAAAGCTGTACTCTAGCTTCTTTAGGTCTACTCATATGATACGTGCCGTATTCCTGATGCTTGTATAATTTCTTGTGAAACGGTTATGTTTAAATTTAGGGTAAGTAAAGTGAGTGACTGATATTGAATCTTATTCTCACAATAAAAAGTGTGGCCAGTAGACATAAATATCTGCCTGTTTTCGTTGTACCTGTCCATATCCAGGCCCAGTACCTCATGGCACCTATCCAGTAGTAGGTTTTGGACTGTAGATTCTCCACGAGCTCTGCTGGAATGTCATCTGTGCCTGGTGTGTACAACTTGCCTCCCTTGTCTTTACATCGGCTTTGGGCCTTCCACCAGTTGTCTCGTTCATTGAAAATGTGTATCCGAGAAGTTTCTAGAAAACGGATTTCAGCAACTGATTTACGGCAAAACACGGTCATCTTTTTTAACAAGCACTATTCTCTGTTCTGTGTCGTTTCCACATGAAGAAATAATGTATCGGATTTACATAGATTGAATCAGTTATGTCTCCATCATGAAATATGAAACCAGAGTGAGTACCTCCCGTCCAACTTCCGTTCATACTCATCAGCATACTGTCAGTACACTATCACACTCATCAGTATACTGTCAGTACACTATCACATTCATCAGCATACTGTCAGTACACTATCACACTCATCAGCATACTTTCAGTACACTATCACATTTATCAGTATACAGTCAGTACACTATCACATTCATCAGTATACTGTCAGTACACTATCACATTCATCAGTATACTGTCAGTACACTATCACATTCATCAGTATACTGTCAGTACACTATCACATTCATCAATATACTGTCAGTACACTATCACATTTATCAGTATACTGTCAGTACACTATCACATTCATCAGTATGCTGTCAGTACACTATCACATTCATCAGTATACTGTCAGTACACTATCACATTTATCAGTATACTGTCAGTACACTATCACATTTATCAGTATACTGTCAGTACACTATCACATTTATCAGTATACTGTCAGTACACTATCAGATCCATCAGTATACTGTCAGTACACTATCATATTCATCAGTATACTGTCAGTACACTATCACATTTATCAGTATACTGTCAGTACACTACCACACTCATCAGTATACTGTCAGTACACTATCACATTCATCAGTATACTGTCAGTACACTATCACACTCATCAGTATACTGTCAGTACACTATCACATTCATCAGTATACTGTCAGTACACTATCACATTCATCAGTATGCTGTCAGTACACTACCACATTCATCAGTATACTGTCAGTACACTGTCACATTTATCAGTATACTGACAGTACACTAGCATATTCATCAGTATACTGTCAGTACACTATCAAATTTCATCAATATATTGTCAATGCACTATCACATTCATCAGTATGCTGTCAGTACACTATCACATTCATCAGTATACTGTCAGTACACTATCACATTTATCAGTATACTGTCAGTACACTATCACATTTATCAGTATACTGTCAGTACATTATCACAATCATGACGTCATACTAATATTGTCAGTATTCACACAACCGTGAAGAATTAAAAAGGTTCGAACTAGTCTTCAGTAGCCCATATGCCTGTCGTAAGAGGCGACTAACGGGATCGGTTGGTCAGGTTTGCTGACTTGGTTGAATAATCGTATACCATTTGCTGAGATCGATTCTTATGATGTTAATCAATGGATTGTCTGGTCTACAGATCGCCGCCATATAGCTGGAATATTGCTGAATGCGCCTTAAACAAAACGCAAACACCTGGCAATACACATGTGACCAAGACCGGGTGATGACTCATGACTGTATATTGTATGAGGATAAAGAGTGAGTGAGTGAGTGAGTTTAATGTTACGCCGCTTTTAGCAATATTCCAGCAATATCATGGCGGGGGACACCAGAAATGGGCTTCACACATTGTACCCATGCAGGGAATCGAACCCAGGTCTTCGGCGTGACGAGCGAACGCTTTAACCACTAGGCTACCCCACCGCCCCATGAGGATAAAGGCAGACACACGTGATATACTTAACGTCACTAGAGTGAACCCTAGGGTCTATGCAACATATTGATTTCCGGGTTCCTGCCTCTTATACACTCATGCTTAAATCAGTGGGCTACAATACTCAATCTGCGAAATGATTAGGTTACTGATCTAGCGACACAGCAGTAACCGTCATTGTGGATATTTATGCTTTGTAGCAGCAGGATAACAGCACCCTAAAACAACCGAGTACGTGACTGAGGACACAATATCATATCCAGTTTCAACACAGATCAGTATCCGAAGGCTGTGAGAACTTGAGAGTTACAATAGTCTACACCAATCTCTGAAATACTTACTGATTAATCTCGCGGAAGGTATACAGGAAGCATACAAATAGAAAAAGTGGAAATTAATGCTTGTAGCAGCAGGATAACAGCACCCTAAAACAACCGAGTACCTGCCTGCGGACACGAGATGTGTGAACCTACCTATACCCTGACACAAGACAGCACCCCAACACACCAACAGCCATGTAAACAACATGTCCGTCATCCACTGAGTACATGGAAACAGAAAATGAGACTTAAAACAGGAATCTGTCGTCTACAGGGAAGTGTAATTCACACACATTAGGACAGTCAACAAAGCCAGGCAGAATTAAAAAATAAAGTGTGTTTATATCTGCATGTAACACATGAATCAGCGGAATACTGCACATAGACAACCAGGCACTGTAGATTATGCATGTACTTATCCTTACGTAGACATTATAAACTTATAGGTGTTGTTTGGGTAAAATGAGTGTGCAGCATAGCTTAAAAGAACGCTTTGTGGCAGCATTTGCGGTTTGGTCATTCCGGCCCTTTACAATGCATGTTTTCTTAACAATTTTGGGATGTCTTCAAGTGTTGCTACATGTACAAAAGTCATGACAGAAATGAATGTATGTTTCCCAGCATTTGTTTCATTATAGGCAAACATGTGACGTTATAAGCGAATACGGGTAAATATTTACTCTAGAAAAGAAGGAACTATCAGAATGTTTAGAGGACAATCTGGATCTAATTACTCTCCTATTGTTAAAGACTCCCCTCTCACATCCAAAGATAGGTGTCCATAAACCTTGGCTTTTGATCGAGGCAACTCAACTGGGGTGTAAATGCAACGTTTGGTATGATAAAACTAACTATCAAACCAACTTATACATATGGTATTTAGTGTTTCCTTTCCCAAGTTTGTTTGTGAGTATTTTTTCTAAAAATAAAGGTCGATATTTTCCTAATTTGCTGTATAAAGAGGCGATGAGAAGCCTTGCGGTTAAAATGTCTGGCTGCCGTCATGGCGACGGTTCGGCTTCTTGATTCCACAAATGGGTACTATTGTGAAGTCCATTTATGTTATCCTGTAGGCATCATGTTACTGGAATATTGCCGGAAGCGGCGTTAATATATTCTCACCCATCCATTTATTTCATGTCGTGTTATCGCAATGTCGTGTCGAGTTGTTGCCATTTCGTGTTGCGTTATCGCTATATCGTGTTTGTTATCGTCATGTCGTGTCGTGATATCGCTATTTCGTTTTGGGCTATCGCAATATCGCTATATATCGTCGCCATATCGCAATATCGTGTCGTACTATCGCTTTTGTCGCGATATCGCCTAGATTTCTTCAGGGCGATAAAGCGATGGCCCGAAATGAGCCACCATACATTTACAACAGACAAAACATCCATAAAGGCACCTTATTCAGCAGGACTCAAAACTGGTAGGCGTTGATTCATTACAGAAACAACGTGTATCAAAGTTGTTGTTTCATATGAAATGTGGCGTAATACCGCAGCACGTGGGAACAGTATACAAGCGGAATAAAGTAACTGTGTATCATTTGATGTTATGCCATATTTTAATGCAAAAAGATAACATGGTTTGTGGTGTTTTCTTGTGGTGTTCCAATTAATTGAAATAATCGATCACATTTTCTCAAAATCAAACACAAATGATTTTGGAACTACTGGTTTGGTCTTTGAAACACTTGACGACGGAACATATCTTTGTCAGGGCCTAAAAATGTGTTTAATTGTTAGAAAACTCACTTGACTAACTGAAAAGTCATGACTGAATATTTCCTGAAGACTCCAGGAAGTTTTTCAAATTAAAGTAGCAGGTTGCATCATGTTATACTTATCTGCAATAACATCCTGACTAGAAAAATCTGAAAAATGATGCTAACCAAATGTTTTCGATGATTGATCAGCTGTAATAAAAGAATCATCAATTATGAGATTTTAACCAATTCCCAACACTAGTGTTTTCCTTCATCACTGTTTAACTGTTGACAGGATGAGATCGAAATTTGTATGATTTGACACTAGGCATCGTGACAGTCCCTTGAAGAGATGTGGTGTCAAAAGTCAGCTTACAAATTCAGTATCGTGTATCCACCATTGGTGTTGATGCAGGTTTGACAACGACGACGCATGATTTGACACTAAGAGATAATTCAATGTAGAAAGTCTGCACTTAAAATAATGAAACATTTTTTTTTCGATTATCCCAAAACTTTACAAAAGTGACGAATATTCAGTTACAACAGAGGGATCAACATCTGAAAGTCATGAGGACTTACCCTTGCCCTGACACAAGACAGCCCCACAACAGACCAACAGACATGCAAACAACATGTCCGACATCCACTTAGCAAATGCAATGACTGCATGAAGGACTCTGTCATCAACAAGGAAGTGTAATTGCCGGTAAAGCGTGACCCGGTCTGTGTTCTGATAAGTAACGCTTTGAATCACAGCGGAATACTCCACACAGACAACCAAACACTGTAGACAAACCATAGGCGGATCCAGGGGGGGGCGGGGGATAGGCACCCCCTTTTGTCCTGAAAGTTTATGAAATGACCATTTGACAATGAAACTCTCGTGAAAACGGGTGAAAATCACGTCCCACACGCCCCTGCAAACAAACATCGAACTCGGGTCTTGGGGGTGACGAGCGAACGCTTTAACCACTAGGTTACCCTCATCGCCCCTGAATGACCAAAGTGCAAACAACCTAAGTGATACGATTGTCTAAATTGAGGTATGGGAGATATTGTTGTTTGTTTGGGGTTTTTTTTAGCACCATTTATTAGCAATACAATTCCACGATTTTACATCCCCTGTACAGTGTCATGTGGATGGATACACCAGGGTGTTGGGGTTAAAAAAATGATTAGTCACAAGTTAGATATACACTTGTCATAAGTGTTAAACACTAAGCACATACATATTTCACTTTCATGCGTACATTTCTTCTGGTACGTTTCAGTATTTTAAGATGTAATTTTTAGATCTTTTATGAAAGTGTCAAAATTACAATCACTTCCAGTGACTTTGCAGCGATACACTATAAATTTAGCAAAAATCAATACATAGTTAAATAATTTTACAGTCTTCAGAGTCTCCATTAAGTTCCATATAATACAACATCTCTGTAATTTGGATATCCCTTTATCTTGAATAGTTGCTTTTGCCCATTTGAAATAGGAAAGCCAGAATGACAAAAAAACATGAGAGCAATAAAACATATAATGTCTGATAGTGTCAGCATTGCCACAGTGTTCACATTGAGTTTACTATCTGTAACAATTAACTTGTTCAGATATATATTGCAAGGCTAAATTGAGTGAAGAATTTTAAACTGTAATTGTTTGTATATTTTTTCTAATTCTGAATCTTGTACAATTTTCCATTTATAAGTATCCTCTTCTGTCACAGAACAACATTATGCATTAAGCTGTACCCCAGGGCTTGGCATTATCAGGAAGATCAGCAACTTTACACCGTTTATACCTGGGCAAACATCACTTGGAAAAGAACAAGTCATATATTTAAAATAAACATTTTGACCAATTGCTCTGTTTTTGAAGTGCATATGTATACAATCTGTATTTTCTTTGGGAAATTTCTAATCCATACATCCTAGCTAATCTTTTGTCTTTGCAGGAAATGTCCATTTTAGTAATTGCCAAACATAAATAATACCTGTTTCTTTCCACTCTGAGTCATATAAGCTTTTTTCTGTTTATAAGCACCTTTTTATTTTCCAAATAATTTGATTAAAAAATGTCAACATCTTTGTAAAATGGAATTTCCAGATATTAAAAAATATCCCTATAAAATATTGGATGTTTAAATTCAAAGTTGCAGTTTAATAAAACAATAAGGGATCCTAAACTATTGGTTGAACTTGATAGCCCAAAATTTTTATTCTTTGAAATGCTTTAGAAAGCCATACTAGTTTAAGTGCTTTTATTAATAAATCAAACTCTAAAGCTTTAATGCCCCATTTTCATAACTTGTGTGAGACAATTTCTTGCTATTCCAACAAAGTAAATAGCTCTCTGTTAATAGACTTGACAACATTTTGGGGCAATGATATACAGCTTGCCCTGATCAATAAGCCTTGAAATGCCTTCTGATTTACTTAATAGGACTCTACCATAAATTGTCAAATTTCTTGACTTCTGAATTCAAATCTCTTCTTTAGATTTTCTAGTGAAATTTCAATCTTATCATGAAAACAAACAAAGTCATTAAGGTCTAACATTATGCCTAATAGTAAGTATTTGTATCTCGAAACTTTCTGAATTTCATATGTGGGCAAAAGTCCTCTTTTTCTAAAGACATTAGGACTGATTTGTCTTAAATTAAGTTTTAGGCCACTGAAATCCTTTGATTAACATAAAAAATCAAAGGGTCTTTGGATTGATTTTTTATCTTTTAATAATGGTGCAGAGTCATCAGCGTAATATATACCTTTCAACTCTTTTCCTGCAAACTGTAAACCATTGATGCAATCTATGCTACAAAACTGCTGTTTATTAACTCAGAACATATCAAAAATATATATGGACTAACAGGACACCCCTGTCTTGTCCTCTTAAGTTTTCAAACCAACTTTGTATGGGAGATATTGTTGTCTTTAGCGTTAAGACATCGCTTTGTACAACGACACCCAGAAACAAAATACTTTTTTAGTTATTTTGTATGTTGTCCAACACATACAATCGTGCTTGGTAAGGTGACCAATTTAGAAGATGTGTATCAATTTCCAGAAATGTGTATGAGGGAAAATGTAGATTGTACTGTTTTCGGTGAAATATAGCCCTCTGCTGTACATGGGAATATCGTAAGTAGGGTAGTGACACTTGTCTACCTTGATATACTGGTATACCATTCAACAAGGAACAATCTAGATTGAAACTGTGTGTAATTATTCCACATCGTCTACATGGTTGGATAGAGACGTGCCCGCATAAACAGTTGGTTATAAGGTTAAATATCCTTACGTTTACCAATTAAATATTATTTTATTCTATTTTACATTTCTGATATTTGAATTTGGACGACGAAATATGTCTGCTACAAATCATACAATCAGATAAGGATACCTTGAGATACCGGTGAATGATAAAACTGAATTTGACATAATTACCCAGAACGATTAACGCAACCATACACCAATTAGATTTGGATGAAACTGGTGCAGTTTGGAAATGTATAACAAGC